GGCTCAGCACCCCCAGGCGTAGCACCCACACGCTCAGCACCCCCAGAGTCAGCACCCCCAGGCTCAGCACCCCCAGCAGCACCAGAGTCACCAGCGACCTCCACAGGCTCGACTGCGTCTACCTGGGACACACCTGAAGGGGCAGGACCCTGAGGGGGAAGGGGGTCTACCGGGGGGGGACCTGGCACAAGGAAGAGCGGTGGCGGGGGGAGGGACGGAGTGCGGTAGGGGAAGAGACGGTAGTAGGGGACCGACTCGTCAAACGTGACGTCCTGGGAGGACAGAACACGGCGAGAGGTGGGGTGGTAGAACTGCCACCCTGGCGCGTCAGGGGGGAAGCCAAGGAAGACGCAGGGAGCAGCACGAGGGGACAGCTTGTCCGCAGACAAGTCGCGGACAAACGCCCGAGATCCCCAGACACGGAACGCAGACGCATCGCCAACCTTCCCCGTCCACAGCAAAGCTGGGGAGGTGGCATGGAGACCCTGGGCTGAAGGTTGATCTGATGCGCCGCGTACCGAACCACAAACGGCCACAGAAAATGGGGGGCAGCCGCATGCATCATGGACGTACGGGCGACGTCCATGACCATGCCAATGCGGCGCTCAGCAATCCCATTTTGCTGTGGAGAGTCCGGAAGCGTGAAGGTCTGGCGGATGCCTCGTGCACGACAGTAGGCTCGCAGAAGGCCAGAGGAGAACTCTCCGCCTCTGTCAGAGTGCAGACGCAGAACAGGAAAGTCCGAGCCGAAACTCTCTCTGAGCTGGAGACGAGCTGCGCGGATCCAGTCGATCAACACCTCAGTGACATCACCCTTGCTGCGCAAGGGGAAGACTGTGGTGTAACGCGAGTAGTCGTCAACCACCAGCAGGAAGTAGCGCTCGTGACCCTGTCCACGGACGCGGGCCGGGCCCCACACGTCCATGTAAAGCGTCTGCAGCGGGGCCTCTGTCGGAGGAAACTGGGAGGAGTGAGGGGCAGCACGCTGCCGCCCCTCGACACAGGGGACGCAGGTAGGGGCAGGCCCCGGAGGAAGGGGAGGGAGGGACCGGGGAAGACCAGAGACAAGGACACGGGAGGCCATGCCTCGGAGACGAGGCAGGGAGGGGTGACCAAGGCGGTGGTGCCAGAGGAGAGTCTCGTGAGACAGGAGGCGACACGAGCAGGGGGCAGACTCAGGACCAGACCTGGACGCTGCAGCAAACACCTGACCCGACGCAGCTGCCTGACCAGACGCAGTGACTGGAGGAGACTCAGTGGTAAGTGTGTACAGGCTCGACCCCGGCCGACGTGTAAACGTGGCCAAGTGTCGGCCCGTCCGAGCGTCCGTGCAGTGGGTCACACGCTGGCTCGCAGGAGTGAACTGGTGAACCCCCGCATCCTGTAGGTCAGCACCACTCACCAAGTTCGTAGAGAACGAGGGGAGGTAAAGACCAGACAGGGTGCCAGAGGGGGCCGCCGGACACGGGAGGACAGTGGAGAAGTGAGCAAGGACAGGACCCCCAGAGGGGTCTGCCAGAGAGACTGCAACTGGCCGACCAAGCGGCGTGAGTGTGGTGCGGTCTCGAAAGAAGGAGCGAGAAGCCCCCGAGTCAAGAGTGAAGGTGTGGGAGGCCGGAGCCGACGCAGTACCTGAGAGAGCAGACTCACCAGCACCTGAGGAAGCAGACGCACTGGCACCTAGAGCAGCAGCCTCGCTAGCACCTAGAGCAGCAGCCTCACCAGTACCTAGAGCAGCAGTCCCAATGCCCGGGTCGGGCGGAAAATACCAGTAACAGGCACCCTCATCACTAATAGTCACAGCATACATGGCAGCAAGAATAGCATCAAAGTCAAGGTCAAAGATAGCTACTCCCGCCCTAGACAGCTCACCCCAGCGAGGGATCTCAGTGGCCTCAGGGAACTGGTGACGCCAAGCGTCCGTCAGGCGGCCAAAGCAGCGCTGGGTGGAGTGCGCACCCCCGCACGGCTCACCCGCGCGGTCGCCGGTGCGTAGGACGTAGGTGCACGGACCAGTACCCCCACCCCGCTGGCGTGCAGCGTACCACTCACGAAGCTGCTGAGGGTGAAACCGTTGTGGGCCAGAGGGTGACGTTAGCAGGTGGGTGAGGCACGAGGGTGGTTGGGGTGGCTTGCACGACTAGAGAGATTACTATAATCAGATCAGGCTAGATCGGACGGTGTACGTGTAGCCATCCGATCATAAACCCACCCACCGCTCGATCACAGCCGCTCAATGGCGGAAGTACCGCTTGGCGGGTGCTTGTGTTGCGGGAGGGGTCGTTTGAGATGCGTCGGCCAACGGTGAGGGTGGTGGGGCAAACAGAGAGAAAGTGGTCCCTGACCGGGCGAAGGGTGTCAGGGAGCCGGGTGACTACGTAGTAGAGGGTGATGTACATAGGGGAGGGGTTCTTGGCGCAGAACTCAGGAGGAAGGGCAGCGCGGTAGCGAGTGTCACTAGTGCGCAGGTGTGTAATGAGGTCAGCGACTGTGGGAAAAGCGGCGAGGTCAGGGAAGAGGTACGGCAGGATGAGGCGACTAAGTGCAGCAGTGGCAGGGGAAGAGTAGCGTGCAACTACAGCGTCGTACAAGGTCTTAGCACTCTTGTACTGACTAAAGTGTGCACGCTCAGCGGTAGGCAAGTGGCGGCGCACAGCAAGACGGGCAGCAGCGTCGCGTGTGGCCCACTGTGAGCGAACAGTGGCGTTAGCATCAGCAGCAGGGGCAGAAGAGGCACCAGAAGTGAGGTCAAAGAGAGAGAGACCGTCTGCCCTGTCGCACTGTAGGAAAAGCTGCAGGTCATCTACCCAGACGTCAAAGTCAATGGCCCGACCCTCAGCGTCAAAAGCGAGGACACTGGGGGTAGCCATGACAGCAGTAGACTAGCAGTTGGAGCAGTAGGGTAAGGGCAGCGCAGTGGTAGAGGTGCCGCTCTTACCGGACAGGGCGGCTCGGGCGGCTCGGCGGCTCGGCAGCAACTGCAGCTCGGCGGCTCGGCGACTCGGCGGCTCGGGCGGCTCGGGCGGCTCGGCGGCACGGCGGCTCGGCAGCAACTGGAGCTCGGCGGCTCGGCGACTCGGCGGCTCGGCGACTCGGCGGCTCGGGCGGCTCAGGTGGCTCGGCGGCTCGGGCGGCTCGGGTGGCTCGGGCGGCTCGGCAGCAGCGGCGGCTCGGTAGATCGGCGGCTCAGCGGCGCCGGCGGCTCGGTGGTGACGGCGAGGCCGCGTGGGGACGGCGGCGGGGCCAGGTGGGGCGGCGACGAGGCCGCTGAGGGCGGCGGCGGGGCCACGAAGGGTGGCGACCGGCGCCTTAAGGGTGGGGCCGCGGGGTCGCAATGGTGGGGCGACGGGGCCAGCAGAGGCGGCGCCGGGGCCGGGAAGGGCGGCGCCGGGGCCGGGAAGGGTGGCGCCGGGGCCGCAAGGGTAGGCGACGGGGCCGCGAGGGCGGCGTGGAGGGGTCGCGAGGGCGGCTCGAGGAGGCCGCGAGGGCGGCGCGAAAGGGCCGCGAGGGCGGCGCGACGCGACGGGACCGCGAGGGCGGCGCGACGGGGTCGCAAGGGCGACGCGACGGGGCCGCTAGAGAGGCGCGACGCGACGGGGCCGCTGAGGCGGCGCGACGGGGTCGTAAGGGCGGCGCGACGGGGCCGTGAGAGGGGAGCGCGACTCGGGCAGAGGCTGAGCGCGCTCCGGGCAGGAAAAAAAAGTTGGTGGGCCCTAGGAACAGTTCCCACAGGGGAACCTGCTCTATACCATGTGAAAATGAACGAGGAATGAAAAGGCTAAGGGAAAGTTGGGTACAAGTACAAACCCTAGAAAGCTGTACCCCATATGTGCTACCCCACTATAGCCTACAGCAGCTAAGTCATATAAATCTGACATAGGCTAGGTAGAGGTGAAAATCATAGGTAGAAATGCCTTGTTAAGGCTTGTCATGCAGAACACTAGAGGCTAAACTTGTAAAAAATTGTTCATCTTAAAACCCGCAGCCTGAATTACAAAAAAAGTTGGAGGTGTTAACACCCCCCCTCCCGAACCAGGGTGGTTACCAGGTCTCACCTTCAAAACGTGAGGAAAGTCGCAGAGTGCGTGGGTGAGGATCGCATGGGTCTCACCACCACTCTTGGGTGGGGTGTGCACACCAAGCTCAAAATCTGTAATTCAGGTCGACAAAAAACACAGGTGCTGTTCGCCAGCAAATCAGAAATTTTGAATGAAAAAGATGGCATGGGCATCGCGACCGCATCCGGAAACGGAGGCGGAACCCACTTCCTAGGTTTGGGCGTAATGCCACTCGAGAAACTTCTGCGCCCGGAAAGCGAAATTACGCAACCGCATCTGGAACCTCCATCCCCACCTTCCCCCCAAGGGCTTTGAACGGCAATGCAACGGCTGTGCCATCGCTGTCCTTTGAAAAACGGGGCATGGCGATGGCATGGCTTGGGGATGGAATTTTGCCTGGGGACGAAGTTGCGTCCCCGCTTCCATATGCCGTCGAGCACCTCAAGTTGGTGGACAAATGGGGGCGTTCGCCAGACACCCACTTTGGTTGTTGGTTTGGACGGTAGAGGAGGCTCGGCACCTTTTTTACGGGCTGACCAGGCTGACGGAGGTAAACGAACCCTAACTGACGGGATCAGGAAGACGAGACCCACCTTCCTGATCCCGTCGTTATCCCGTGGTTTTGGCTTCACAGGTGCTGGCGAACAGCCCCACAGAGTCCAGGGCCAAACTTGGGAAAGCCATAGCTTAGAAGAGAGTTAGCGCGCTGACTTCCACGTCAGTTTAGGGTTCCGCAATACGCTCTGGTACAACGCCTCCATTCCGACGAGCTGAGTCGCCTTTGCTTTCCGCACGCCTTACATCGCGTTCTCACGGCACGGGAAGAGCAGTAACCATTTACGTGCACATGCCCATCGTCGTCCGCGGTTTCACTTCCCTATCGCCAGGCGCATCGATGTCGCGGTTGTGCCTAGCTGCGCCCGCCTCTGTCCAGATTAGAGCATGACGCGTTACACATACTTTGTGGCGTTCTCATCGCCGCCGTCGCGCGGGTTCATGCCCCTCCGTCGCCCACGTGACCCGTCGCCGTCGCACACTTCCCCCCACCGCCATAGCGCACTCCCCTCCCGACGCCTTCGCGCACTCCCCTCCCGACGCCTTCGCGCACACCCCTCAAAAGACGCCTTCGCGCACACCCCTCAAAGGAGTATGAGCGCTCCCTCCCGTCCCGATCACGCTCCCTCCCCTCCCTTCGCCTCCGCGCAACGCCTCTTACGCCCCTCCTCACTCCTTTCCGTTGCCCACGCTCACCCTCTTCCCGTCGCCCAGCTCACTCCCCTCTATCCCGCACGATAAGCTCCATTTCCGTCGCCCACCCGCACTTCCTTCGGTCGCCCATACGCACTCCCTTCCGTCGCCCATGCGCTCTCCCGTCCGAAGCCCATGCGCACTCCCTCCCGTCGCCTAACTGCACTCCCTTCCGTCGCCTATGCGCACTCCCTTCCGTCGCCTATGCGCACTCCCTTCCGTCGCCTATGCGCACTCCCTTCCGTCGCCCACACGCACTCCCTTCCGTCGCCTATGCGCACTCCCTTCCGTCGCCCACACGCACTCCCTTCCGTCGCCCACACGTACTCCCTTCCGTCGCCCACACGCAATCAACGCCGGAGCCCATGCGCACCCCCTTCCGCCGCCCATGCGCACTCCCTTCCGCCGCCCATGCGCACTCCCTTCCGCCGCCCGTGCGCACTCCCTTCCGCCGCCCATGCGCACTCCCTTCAGTCGCCTCCCCATCCCTCACCTCCTCATTCCTCACCTCCTCATCCCTCATGTCCTCATCCTTTATTTTCCCATCCCTCATCACCCCATCCCTCGCTGCGACACCGTGAGTGGCACCATTTCCGCCCCACCCCATTCCGCCCCACCCCATTCCGCCCCACCTCAGTCCGCCCCACCCCATCTCCTCCTCACCTCTCTCCGCCTCACCCCATTCCGTCTCAACACGTTCCCCGTTTCCTCTCCCGATCGCCCTCTCCCTTATTTCCCCCGCGCCCTCGATCCTATTCTTCTCCCGCCCCCTCTCCCATGTTTCTCCCCTTCCCGCCCCCACACCCTCCGCCCAACAGGGACAACCGGAAGCGCGTGCTACAGCTGCTGCTGTGCTCGTGCTACAGGTGAGCCACAACACAACATGCTCTGCTGTGCGGTTGTGTGCTCTGTTCTGCTCTGCAGTGCTGTGCAGTGCGTTGTGGGATTCTGCACTGCTGTGCAGAGCTACGCAAGATGAGGTGCTCGGCTAAACGACGCTCATCTCCCCGTCCGTCACCTCCTTCCCCCCACCCTCAGCCCTACTTCCCCCCACCCTCAGCCCTACTTCCCCCCACCCTCAGCCCTACTTCCCCCCACCCTCAGCCCTACTTCCCCCCACCCTCAGCCCTACTTCCCCCCGCCCTCAGCCCTACTTCCCCCCACCCTCAGCCCTACTTCCCCCCACCCTCAGCCCTACTTCCCCCCACCCTCTGCCCTACTTCCCCCCACCCTCAGCCCTACTTCCCCCCACCCTCAGCCCTACTTCCCCCCACCCTCAGCCCTACTTCCCCCCACCCTCAGCCCTACTTCCCCCCACCCTCAGCCCTACTTCCCCCCACCCTCAGCCCTACTTCCCCCCACCCTCAGCCCTACTTCCCCCCACCCTCAGCCCTCCTTCCCCCCACCCTCAGCCCTCCTTCCCCCACCCTCAGCCCTCCTTCCCCCCACCCTCAGCCCTCCTTCCCCCCACCCTCAGCCCTACTTCCCCCCACCCTCAGCCCTCCTTCCCCCCACCCTCAGCCCTCCTTCCCCCACCCTCAGCCCTCCTTTCCCCCACCCTCAGCCCTCCTTCCCCCCACCCTCAGCCCTCCTTCCCCCCACCCTCAGCCCTACTTCCCCCCACCCTCAGCCCTACTTCCCCCCACCCTCAGCCCTCCTTCCCCCCACCCTCAGCCCTCCTTCCCCCCACCCTCAGCCCTCCTTCCCCCCACCCTCAGCCCTCCTTCCCCCCACCCTCAGCCCTCCTTTCCCCCACCCTCAGCCCTCCTTTCCCCCACCCTCAGCCCTCCTTCCCCCCACCCTCAGCCCTCCTTCCCCCCACCCTCAGCCCTCCTTTCCCCCACCCTCAGCCCTACTTCCCCCCACCCTCAGCCCTCCTTCCCCCCACCCTCAGCCCTCCTTCCCCCCACCCTCAGCCCTCCTTCCCCCCACCCTCAGCCCTCCTTCCCCCCACCCTCAGCCCTCCTTCCCCCCACCCTCAGCCCTCCTTCCCCCCACCCTCAGCCCTCCTTCCCCCCACCCTCAGCCCTCCTTCCCCCCACCCTCAGCCCTCCTTCCCCCCACGCTCTGCCCTGTTCCTCCCTGTGGAGAGCGGCAGTGGCTGCTTGACCCCCATCGCACACACGTACTCCCCTCCGACGCGCACGCTCTCTCCCCTCCGACGCCTACGCTCCCTCCCCTCTCATCGCACCCGTGCGCTCTCCTCCCCGTCCATCGTCACGCCATCCCACATCTCCCCATCCCTCACCTCCCCGTCCATCACTTCTCTGGTCTTCCTCTCCCTCTCCCCATCCGTCCTCATACCATCCCTCCTCTCCCCGTCCCTCCTCTCCCTATCCGTCCTCATACCATCCCTCCTCTCCCCGTCCCTCCTCTCCCCATCCGTCCTCTCCCCATACGTCCTCTCCCTATCCGTCCTCTCCCCATCCGTCCTCTCCCCAACCGTCCTTCCCCCATCCGATTCTCTCCCCCTCCCCTTCAGGTGTTTCCCACACTGTCCTCGGCTTTGCGTTCACCGGGGAGCTGCTTGGGGCGCTGTGGCCGGATGGCGGCAGGCAGAGTCGCGCAACAGAGGCCTACGTGGTGCTGCAGGGATCCCTTCCCCCTGTCCACCCAACCCCACTTCCACCCTCCATCACTCCCTCCCTTCCTGCATTCCCCCCTTCCGCCCTCCCTCACATCCTTCATCACTCCCTCCCTTCTTGCTTCCGCCCGCCCGCGCTCACTCTCTTCCCATTGCCCGCCCTCCTTCCCTCCCGTCAACCACGCTACGTCCCCTTCGTCGCTGATGTGCACTCCCCTTGAACGAGCACGCTCAATCCCCTCCCGTCCTGTCCTAGCCCCTCACCCCGCCCTGTCCTATACCCTCACCCCACCATGTCCACACCCCGTCTCCTCCACACCCCATCCCCTCCACATGCCATCCCCTCCTCACCCCATGTCCTCCTCACCCCATCTCCCCATCCCCGCCCCACCCCACTCCGCCCTGTCCTATACCCTCACCCCACCCTGTCCACACCCCATCTCCTCCTCACCCCATCTCCTCCACACCCCATCTCCTACTCACCCCATCTCCTCCTCACCCCATCTCCTACTCACCCCATCTCCTCCTCACCCCATCCCCTCCACACCCCATCTCCTTCTCACCCCATCTCTTCCTCACCCCATCTCCTCCACACCCCATCTCCTCCTCACCCCATCTCCTCCACACCCCATCTCCTCCTCACCCCATCTCCTCCACACCCCATCAGATGCCTCCCCCCATCTCCGTCTCACTCCATCTCCTCCTCACCCCATCAGATGCCCTACCCCATTCCGCTGCACCCCATCTCAAGAGTGCCCCATTCCGCCCCACCCCATCTCAAGGGTTCCCCATTCCACCCCACCCCTCAAAATCCCCCCATTCCGCCCCACCCATCTCTACCCCACCCCCTCTCCGCCCCACCCCATCTCTGCCTCCCGCTTGTCTCCCCCATACCCCCACTCCTATTTTCCCCCAAATATTTCCCTTGTTTCATCCCTCACGCCCCCACACCCCGTTCTGCAGCTGCGTCCAGAATAGCCCGCCACAGCTGCTGCTGTGGCGAGCGGGTGTGGCTGCAGACGGGGGTCACAAGGTGAGGCACACCGCTGTCATGTGCTCTGTTGTGTGGGGCTGTTCTCTGCGCACCACTGCTCTGTGGCTCTGCGGTGCTGTGCTGTGATCCGATTTGCACACACCCCTCCTCCCCCTTCTCATATCCTTTGTTCCCCTCTTTCTGTCTCATCTCATTCACCACCAGGTGGCTGTGCCACAACTCGAGTTCAAGACATCCGTTCATCCACCATCGTTATATGACAGTAGCATCTTCCCTAATCTTCGCACTAACATGAATACCCGCTTGGCTCGTGTGTTGTCCCTCTCGCAATACCGCTTGATTGAACCCAATGGGTATCGCGAATCAGCCGAAGGCGTAGGGTTGTAAGATTGCATCGTAAAAAACGAGTCTTGATGGCACAAAACATAACGCACAATACCATTGTCATACTAATTTTCATTGGAATGAGAGGCAACACATCATATACGTTAGTATTCTAGGTTGAGAACATTAGTTCATGGACACACCCCGAGAAAGGAATGAATGGGCTCGTTACATAGGAGGCGCGGATATACACACTTCGCGGATGACAAGCACGTGGAGGAATTGAATGACCAAGCCATATTGTCTGGGCTATAAGTGCCCGTACTACGTCAATAAATAGTGTAAATGGCTTGGTCATACAAGCCTGTAACTGCGGTGGAATACGAGTGAAGGATCAAAACGGAAAACAATACGAACAAAAAGGGGGAAGGGAAGATTTCTTTCGCTATCACCGTGTGGGACTGCGGGAATGTAGTGAATGGAAGCATGCGATATAAAGCGTGAGACCTGAAGGAATAGATGGGAACATGGGGGAGGATGAAGTGGGGGGATAGGAGAAGCAGAATTGCAGGGGAGAAACATAACTTTGTGGTCAGAGAGGTAAGCAAGTGGGAGAGAGTGAGCTGGGGGTAACGGAGTGAGTAGGGTGGGCAGGAGAAAGGGGGATGGGAGAGCGCAGGGATAAAGAGAGCGAATAGGGGTAAGATAGTGAACTTGGGGGAAGTTTGTGAGTAGGGCTGTAGCGAATGAGAGCAGAGCAAAGGGGGGTGCACAGTGAGCAGGGGGAAATTGCCGTGATCAGGAAGAAACTGAGCAAGCTTAGAGTTTAGGGCGACGGGAGGGGGAGGCAGAGCACCGAGGCTGGAAGAGAGATAGGAGGCGGGTTTTGAGATGTCAGAGTGGAAGAGGGTGTTGTTGGAAGTAGAGCCAGCTAAGCACTGTAAGCCCGGAGCTTTGACTGCCTCCACGATGCCGTACGGAGGAGCAGCGGGGGAGGAAAAACGTGTCAATTTCGGAGAAGGTCGCCAAGGGGGAGGCCAAGAAATCAAGGTGAACTGGGGAACAGTTACAAGGAGATGGGCGACAGATGTAGCAGCGGAGTAAATTGTCCGCCCGCAGCAAACCCCACATGTTTCTTCGAACACGCCTTGACGTAAGTACTCAAGAGTCATGCACGCACCTCTCGTAAGGAAAGGAGGAGTAGCAAGGGCAGGAAGAAGCGCACCAACGCACCTCTCGTAAGTCCTGCCTCTAGGGTGGGCAATTGTTGTCCGCTCTCAGCAAGCCCACCGGTGGCTGGAGTGAGTTCTGCAGTGGGGAAGAGGTGGAGGGGTAGGAGATAGGAGGAGAGGAGGAGAGAAGAGAGGGCAAGAGGTGCAGTAAGCCCACTGGTAGTGCCTCTAGAGCGGGCAGTTGTTGTTTGCTCGCAGCAACCTGACTGGGGGCGGGAGTGAGTACTACGACTAGAGGGAAGAGCGGGGAGGGGAAGTGAGGGAGGTGTAGAGATATGAAAATGGACAGTTGTTGTCCGCTCGAGGATGCGGCGATGGCGATGGCTGCGGAGTTGACTCACCTGGTGCACACATTGCTCACAATGCCCGCAAGCAACACCCGTATAGTCGGCACACACTGAACGCCCACCTGGTGGAAGTTTGCCCACACTGTTCACAATGCTCGCACCACAGACAGGTACACATACTCACACACTGGGTGCACAGTGAAGGGCTCACACACTGGGTGCACAGTGAAGGGCTCACACACTGGGTGCACAGTGAAGGGCTCACAAACTGGGTGCACAGTGAAGGGCTCACACACTGGGTGCACAGTGAAGGGCTCACACACTGGGTGCACAACGAAAGGCTAGGGTGACAGAGGGAAGAAAAGTTAGTGCCACGTACCAAAAGTATGCGGAGTTGCGAAGACGAATGAGGAATTGTATGACCAAGCCATTCTGTCTGTATTTGCAAGTCCGTCCACGGTCAATAGACATAAATGGCTTGTTCATACAAGCCTGTAACTGCGGTTGATAAGAGGGGTTGGCAATGAGAACATCGGAACAAGATGTTGGAAGGGCGGAATTACGACACGAAATTGGAAGGGTGTGGGAACACTGTTTTGGGAAACGGGAGTAAGCCAGATAAAGCAAGGGGGCTAGTGGTAACGTAAGGGAAAGGTGGTGTCGAGGGTAGGGGAGGCTGGGGAAAATATGAGGGGTATAGGGGAGCAGGGCTGCAATCCGAAACTCAAGGTGCAGGGGTAAGAGAGTGAGATGGGGGAAGAGAGAGAGGCGGGGGGAAGACAGTGTGCAAAGGTGAGGGAGATAGCAGGGGAAGAGATAAGCACAGGTCGAGGGGTGGACATAGGTTTAGGATAATGCGTAGGTGAGGGCGGCAGGGTAAAAGCCCGTTAGTACCACGTACTACAACAATGGGTGCGCATCTTGTAAGAGGGTGGGGAGTTGAGACAGGTGCACAGCGAAGAGTGGAAAGGGGAGAGTGGTGGGGGGAGATGGGATGAGTAACGGGGGAAAGAGAGTGAGCTGGGGGAAATGGGGTGAGTGAAGAGGGGAAATAGAGTGCTTACTCCCCTTGCTATCCTCACTATCCTCGCTTCCCTTGAAGGGGGACTAAGAGTGAGCAGTGGGGAATTGGGACGAAACAAGGAGAGCAGAGATTGAGCAGGTGGGCAAAGGGGTGAGGGACGGGGGAAAGGGAGTGAGATAGGGGAAATGGGATGACTAAACGAGGGAAAGAGAGTGGGAATGGGGAAATGGGATGAGAGAAGGGTGTGTGAGAGTGAGGTGGGGGGAATGGGATGCTGCAAAGGGAAGGAGATCGAGGGAGGGATGGGGAGGTGAGGGATGGGCCGGTGCGGGACGGTGAGGCGAGGCAATGGGAGATGAGGGACGTGACAGTTTAGGGATGGGTTGGTGAGGCATGGGGCCCGCTGGGGAAGGGAGTGTGAGGCGCTGGGGAAGGGAGTGTGAGGCGGTGGGGAAGGGTGTGTGAGGCGATGGGGAAGGGAGTGTGAGTTCTGCAGTGGGGAAGGGAGGGTGTGGCGATGGGGAAGGGAGTGTGAGGCGCTGGGGAAGGGAGTGTGAGGCGATGGGGAAGGGAGTGTGGGGCGCTGGGGAAGGGAGTGTGAGGAGGTGGGGAAGGGAGTGTGAGGCTCTGGGGAAGGGAGTGTGAGGCGCTGGGGAAGGGAGTGTGGGTGTGTGGGGAAGGGAGTGTGTGGCGCTGGGGAAGGGAGTGTGGCGCGCTGGGGAAGGGAGTGTGAGTGTGTGGGGAAGGGAGTGTGAGTGTGTGGGGAAGGGAGTGTGAGGCGATGGGGAAGGGAGTGTGAGGCGCTGGGGAAGGGAGTGTGTGGCGCTGGGGAAGGGAGTGTGAGTGTGTGGGGAAGGGAGTGTGAGTGTGTGGGGAAGGGAGTGTGAGGCGATGGGGAAGGGAGTGTGAGGCGCTGGGGAAGGGAGTGTGTGGCGCTGGGGAAGGGAGTGTGAGGCGCTAGGGAAGGGAGTGTGAGTGTGTGGGTTTAGGGAGAGTGAGTGTGTGGGGAAGGGAGTGTGAGGCGATGGGGAAGGGAGTTTGTGGCGCTGGGGAAGGGAGTGTGAGGCGCTGGGGAAGGGTGTGTGAGGCGATGGGGAAGGGAGTGTGTGGCGATGGGGAAGGGAGTGTGAGGCACTGGGGAAGGGAGTGTGAGCGTGTGGGGAAGGGAGTGTGAGTGTGTGGGGAAGGGAGTGTGAGTGTGTGGGGAAGGGAGTGTTAGGCGCTGGGGAAGGGAGTGTGAGTGTGTGGGGAAGGGAGTGTGAGGCGCTGGGGAAGGGAGTGTGAGGCGCTGGCTCAGGGAGTGTGAGGCGATGGGGAAGGGAGTGTGAGTTCTGCAGTGGGGAAGGGAGTGTGAGGCGCTGGGGAAGGGAGTGTGAGGCGATGGGGAAGGGAGTGTGGGGCGCTGGGGAAGGGAGTGTGAGGCGCTGGGGAAGGGAGTGTGAGGAGGTGGGGAAGGGAATGTGAGGCTCTGGGGAAGGGAGTGTGAGGCGCTGGGGAAGGGAGTGTGAGTGTGTGGGGAAGGGAGTGTGAGTGTGTGGGGAAGGGAGTGTGTGGCGCTGGGGAAGGGAGTGTGGCGCGCTGGGGAAGGGAGTGCAAGGCGCTGGGGAAGGGAGTGTGAGTGTGTGGGGAAGGGAGTGTGAGTGTGTGGGGAAGGGAGTGTGTGGCGCTGGGGAAGGGAGTGTGAGGCGCTGGGGAAGGGAGTGCGAGGCGCTGGGGAAGGGAGTGTGAGTGTGTGGGGAAGGGAGTGTGAGTGTGTGGGGAAGGGAGTGTGAGGCGATGGGGAAGGGAGTGTGAGGCGCTGGGGAAGGGAGTGTGTGGCGCTGGGGAAGGGAGTGTGAGGCGCTGGGGAAGGGAGTGTGAGGCGCTGGGGAAGGGAGTGTGAGTGTGTGGGTTTAGGGAGAGTGAGTGTATGGGGAAGGGAGTGTGAGGCGATGGGGAAGGGAGTTTGTGGCGCTGGGGAAGGGAGTGTGTGAAGCGATGGGGAAGGGAGTGTGAGGCGCTGGGGAAGGGAGTGTGAGGCGCTGGGGAAGGGAGTGTGAGGCGCTGGGGAAGGGAGTGTGTGGCGATGGGGAAGGGAGTGTGAGGCACTGGGGAAGGGAGTGTGAGCGTGTGGGGAAGGGAGTGTGAGTGTGTGGGGAAGGGAGTGTGAGTGTGTGGGGAAGGGAGTGTGAGGCGCTGGGGAAGGGAGTGTGAAGCGATGGGGATGGGTTCCTACCTGGAAATGGGATGAGTGGGTACGTCCGTCCGCTGGTTCACGGAATCTGTGGGCGCCGGAGCACAGGTTCTGTGGGCGCCCTTGCTCGGGAGATGAGAAAGGCGAGAAGGGTGGGAGGGCCCACAGTCCGCAACAGCTTAGTGGCCACGTGCTCGCGAGAGCGACGGAGTGGGCTACAAAGGGGATTTGCGGTGACGGGCAGGGGAGATGAAGTCGGTGGAAAGGGGATTTGCGGTCGAGGGGAATGGGTAAGGCGCTGACGGTAAGGGGAATTGCAGTGCTCAGAAACGCGGAATGCGCGCGACGAAGAGGTCTGAAGCTGGCGACGGGAAGAAGAACGGCCTTTGCTTCGAGGGGGAAATGAGCCTGACGGGCAGACAATATTGGCTTGAGATCACGCCTTTTGCGGGCGAAGAGATTGGTAACCACGGGCGACGGCTCGGCTAAATGCGGGCGACGTTCATGCTAAATGCGGGCGACGGGAAGGCTAAATGCGGGCGACGGGAAGGCTTGTTGCGGGCGACGGGAGTGCTAAATGCGGGCGACGGGAGGGCGCCCAATGAGGGCGACGGGCAGGCTAAATGCGGGCTCCGGGAAGGCTATTCCCCCGCGCCGCGCAGGCTAAATGTGGTTCTCGTCGGCCAGCCTGAATGCGTTTTGCGTGCAAAACGAGGCTACGGGCGTTTCTCGACCGAGTCATTGAGTTCTTGGGCGACGCGCAATGTGGGCCTGGTTGTTGTCTTAGTCGCTGTTTGTGGTACTTGGATAAGTCATCTAAAGCAGTGGTGCAGTATGGGAGGTATGTCGAAATGTCTTAGGCTACGCTCTCCCATTGCCTTGGTTCCGTTTTCGCATTCCCTGCCTGTCGTTTGCATGGGTGCGACACCAGGTTGTCGCTACTTTGTTTCGCTAGCCAGCCTGTTTCGCAATTCTTCCGAACGTCAGATTGGTTAAAACCCGCGTCTCATATTTCTTGTTTCCAACCAAAGGTAATACGCTTGAAACCGGGTAACCAAACAATCACTCGCAAAACACTCGCGTTTGGTTTGGCGCAGGTGTGATTGGCTGCAAACCAAACAGTTTGGTAGAGGCAGGTGCCTGACTACCAAGCCGGGTTTGCGAGAAACAGGCAACTGCATGTGCGACGGACTGAGAATGGGACGCACAGCCCACAACCGAGCGTATTACAGAGCTGGAAAAATATGAGACTGCAAACCCAGACAGGTTGTAGGTGGAGAAACATACTCGCACCGATTTCTCTAGCGACTAAGTCTCATGTCAGCATCTTATTTTCCCTAGGTTTATTCCAGCGTCAAACGTGACAACACCTTGTACCTCTCGTTGTCGTTGTTTATTTTTATCTTTGGTCACTCCGCGCCTGCATTTGCTTTTACGCACGTATAGTCCGTCCATCGCCAGAGCTGGTCCTCATTATTGCAATAAGATGCACCACTCTATTTGGACCAAGGTGTATTGCAGTAACGCTCCCCCCTGTCGAATTTGGACGGAAGGGACACGACGGAAAGGCAGCAGTTAGGACGAGATAGGAAGCGACGCGACGGAAAGGCAGCAGTTAGGACGAGATTGGAAGCGACGCGACGGAAAGGCAGCAGTTAGGACGAGTTAGGAAGCGACGCGACGGAAAGGCGAGGGTTAGGACGAGATAGGAAGCGACGCGACGGAAAGGCGAGGGTTAGGACTGGATAAGCAGCGACGCGGCTGAAAGGCGAGGGTTAGGACTCGATAAGCAGCGACGCGACATGGCTGGAAGCGAGGAGAAAGGGATGGGCGTGATGCGAGGGTAAGGGGAGAGTCGCGAAGGGGTGTGGCGGGACGGTTGGGAGGGAAGGGACTGGAAGGGAGGTAAGGGGTGAGAAGGACCTCCGGGATGCGACGAGAAGGGGAGGGGTGGGACGGTGCGTGAAGGGGAGCCGGAAAGGGTAGGAAGGGATACTGTGGGATGCAACGAGGAGTGGAGAGGAGAGAAGTGGAGAGGAGAGGAGAGGACAGGAGGGGACGCTACTGGACACGACGGGACGGGACGGGAACGGGGGGGACCTGATGGGACGTGAGGGGACGCGACGGGAAAGGACGGGACGGGACGGGACGGGACGGGAAGGAAACGAGACGAGAGGGCACGGGACGGGACGGGACGGGACGGGACGGGACATGACGGAACGGGATGGGACGGGACATGACGGGACGGGATGGGACGGGATGGGACGGGATGTATGACGGGACGGAGCGGGAGGGAACGCGACGGAGCGGGACGGGACTGGCGGGAGGAAACGTAGGAGACGCGCCGATCCCCATACCCCTTTCCCTTCCCACATCCCCTTTCCCTAACCCCATCCGCCTTCCCCTCCCCCATCCCCCTTCTCTTTCCCCATCCCCCTTCTCTTTCCCCATCCCCCTTCTCTTTCCCCATCCCCCTTCTCTTTCCCCATCCCCCTTCTCTTTCCCCATCCCCCTTCTCTTTCCCCATCCCCCTTCCCTTCCCGCATCCCCTTTCCCTTTCCCCATCCGCCTACCCTTTCCCCATCCCCTTCTCTTTCCCTATCCCCCTTCCCTTCCCCCATCCCCCTTCCCTTCCCCCATCCCCCTTCTCTTACCACATCCCCTTTCCCTTCCCCACACCCTCCTTTCCCTTCCCCCATCCCCCATTCCCTTTACCCATCCCCCATCCCTTCCCTGCATCCTCCTTTCCCTTCCCCCATCCCCCTTCCCTTCCCCCATCCCCCTTCCCTTCCCTCATCCCCCTTTCCCTCCCCCTCTGCTATCACCTTCTTTTCTCTTTCTGCTACCACCTCCCTTCCCCCTCTGCTGTCACCTCTCATCCCGTGATACCACCTCCCTTCCCCCTCTGCTGTCACCTCTCATCCCGTGCTACCACCTCCCTTCCCCCTCTGCTGTCACCTCTCATCCCGTGCTACCACCTCCCTTCCCCCTCTGCTGTCACCTCTCATCCCGTGCTACCACCTCCCTTCCCCCTCTGCTGTCACCTCTCATCCCGTGATACCACCTCCCTTCCCCCTCTGCTGTCACCTCTCATCCCGTGCTACCACCTCCCTTCCCCCTCTGCTGTCACCTCTCATCCCGTGATACCACCTCCCTTCCCCCTCTGCTGTCACCTCTCATCCCGTGCTACCACCTCCCTTCCCCCTCTGCTGTCACCTCTCATCCCGTGCTACCACCTCCCTTCCCCCTCTGCTGTCACCTCTCATCCCGTGCTACCACCTCCCTTCCCCCTCTGCTGTCACCTCTCATCCCGTGCTACCAGCTCCTCCCATGAAGCCAACACTTCGCCAACCCTTTCACCTTTTTCCCCTGCTTTCACACACTATTCCGCCAAGCAATCACTTCCCCAATTCCTCCCTGCCTCCTTTCTTTCCCCATGCCATGCCTCCCCTCGCTTTCCTCCCATGCCTCAGCTCTGTTTTCCCACTTGTCTCCCCTCTGCTTCCCCCCTTTCTCCCCCCTGTTGATGTGCTTGTTCCAGCATGGCGCCACAAAGAACCAGTTCATCCTTAGTTTTGTGACTAGTGCGTAGATTCAAAACTCAGTTGTTGGCAAAGTAGGCTTGCCAAACCCGCCTAGTCTCTTGTCTTTCATAGCATATTACACTTGATGCTCAGATGGTTGCAATGCATCCATTTAGTTTGTAGCAATTGAGCACAGCACTGACCTAAAGAACTTATTGAATGTATACACTTGTGCAATATCTTGAAGATACGGGGTACATCTCTCCTCTAGCGCCAATCTCGCCTTCGTGCATCTGGCCGTGCATCTGCTGCTTGCCTGTCCCTTCCGTTCCGCCAGGCTCGCCTGGGACTAGCTTAGTCCTGCTTGTAACTGGAACAAAGGGAGAGGTGACGGGAGGAAGGAAGGCTCCAGGGATGAGAAAAAGGGCAGTTGAGATGTGAAGGAAGAGAAAGGTGGTAAAAAGGGGGAACGGGGAGAGCAAAAGAGGGTAGGGGTGATGCAAGGAAGGGAGGCTGGCACGCAAGATGGGAAGGAAGGGAGGGCAAATGAGAAGAATGGGAGGGGATGAGAAGGGAAGGGACAGGAGATGGGAAGGCATAGTAGGGGAAATGAAAAAAAAGGAGGGCAGATGGAGAAGGAAAGGGCTCTACACACTCATGGCCCTAAACACAGCACTCAACCTCCCCACCTCCTACTCCCACTCCCCCTCCCCTCTCTCACCATCGCCCACACCCACACCCTCCTCACCTTCCCCTGCTTACATACACCTCAGTTCGGGCAGAAAAACTAGCAGGGTGAGCGCGTGGCGAGGGCTGGCTGGCAAGCAAGCCTTGCTGCAGACATTAGGAAAGTTGGTAGGGGAGGGGGTGAGGGTGAGTTAACAGGGAGAGGAAGGGGAGAGAGGGAAAGGGAGAGGGTGAAGGGGAGAGAGGAAAGGGAGAGAGGGAAGGGGAGAGAGGGAAGGGGAGAGGGTGAAGGGGAGAGAGGAAGGGGAGAGAGGGAAGGGGAGAGAGGGAAGGGGAGAGGGTGAATGGGAGAGAGGAAAGGGAGAGAGGGAAGGGAGAGAGGGAAGGATGTGTGTTGTGTCTCGAGGCGCAGATGGCAGTTGGGGGAAAGGGAGGTGTGAGCACCGGGATGTGAAGGCTGAGGGACGTGTGGCAAAATGACTTGTGCATTTTTATGCACATGCACTGAATGATAAGAATACAAACAGGTGCACACCCGCACGCACGCACGCACGCATGCACGCTTGCTCTCACGCACGTGCACGCAAGCACGCACGCACGCACGCGCGCGCACGCACGCATGCACGCACGCACGCGTACGCGCACGCAAACGTGCACGCACACGCGCACACACGCACGCCGCACGCGCACGCGCAAGCGCACGCACGCACGCACGCGCACGCTCGCGCACGCACGCACGCACGTTCGCACGCACACAAGCTTTCACACACACCCCACACACATGCCACTCGCACACAGACCTTTCACGCAATCGCGCTTGTCGTAGATGGACGACCCGAGCGCATTCTGAAATGCGACATCACCTCTCCGGGTTCCACAGCTGTAAATAGAAGAGTAAGAACGCATTTCGGAATGTTACGGACTGGCTACCTCGTAACAAGCGATGGCGTTGCGACCGTTCCCGACATTGGACGATTCCTTAGTCGCCAATTAGTGCGTTATCCGCAACCAGAATTTGTTCGCAAGTCCCCTGTTATCTGGTCCGAAATGGTCTCTAATATCACTGTTTTAGCGACTAAGGCCAGCATCTTGATGTGGAGGTACATACGTAGGAACCATCCTAAGCGGAGGTTGTAAGACTGACAGGTGAGAGTTTTGCTCTGCTTTTCCTGGTGAACGTGGGCGAATTGCGTCTTGTCGTTTCAGTTGGTCGCAGGGAACTGCCGGATCTGTTTTTTAGGTGTGGGAGCTTTCCATGCCTGAGGGGCTCGTTTGGTTTTTGCGTAGACGAACTGAGGTGTCGTCTGTGTTTTCCAAACTGCTCGTCACAAATCTCGCCTATCGTTACCCAATCACAGGCGCTTTAGCCCAACCAAGTGTAATACACTAGGAAATATGAGACCCGGGTTTTAAGCCGAAGCACAACCCAAGCCTGGCGTTGACTCGGTTTTGTAATTCGGGCTGCGGGTTTTAACGAAAAAATAGTAATCCCCATCCCCATCACCATCCCCATCTCCACCACCATGCTCACATGCTTCACGAATCAAGGACCAGTATCCGCACATGCTACCTATCCCTTTGACCCTCCCGCCTCCCCTTCACATGCTACCCATCCCTTTGACTCCCGCGCTCCCCTTCACATGCTACCCATCCCTTTGACCCCCGCGCTCCCCTTCACATGCTACCCATCCTTTTGACTCCCCCGCCTCCCCTTCACATCTCCACAGATCAAGGAAGACTATCCGCACATCATGCTGCCATATAAACTCGAGTACCCCACCATACCCTCCAAAGACGTCAGCGACTTTCTGCACGCCTACGCTCTCTATAGCAACGCGCCTGTCATCAGCCTCGGAAATGCATATGGCATGTCTCTGGTCCACGTCCCTTTTTTCTTCTGGTCCGCGGTTCTGCCCTTTAAAGCCCAAGACCCAAATTACAAAAAACGAGGGCAAACTGTGCACAGTTTGCCTCCCGCAGCCCACAGTTTTGCCCCGCGTTGACTTTCGTTGAGCAATTCAGGTCTTGGGCTTTAAAAGCACCTGCTTGGATATATGGCTGCCCCCCCCCCCAATTATAGACAACTTTGTTAACGGTTTCATCGACACGTTTCTACGATCGGATTATGCAGCGGTGCACCTTAGGCGGAGCGATTCCGCCCTGCATTACCAGTACTTAAAGGGGATCAGCGTGGAGAAGACGCATTCCGCCTACCTTTGTCAAACTATATATGTGCTAGTTCTGTGTAGGCTATAGTGGGGTAGCCTGTATGGGGTACAACCCAATGTTAGGATTAGTACTTGTACCCACAATCCTTTCAATGCAGTCATTCTTGCTTGCTATCTTGACATGGTATCAGAGCAGTAGGTCCGTAGGACCGTTTTTTTTTGGCCCACCATTACCTAGTGTCCGACTGCGGTTACCGCGTTACCCCATGCCTTGCCCTGCGCTGCCCTATAGCGCGCGCCCTGCCCTGCCCTGCCTTGCGTCGCGCTGCCCCGCGCACGCCCTGCCCTGCCTTGCGTCACGCTGCCCCGCGCACGCCCTGCCCTGTCTTGGGTTGCGCTGCCCCACGCACGCCCTGCCCTGCCTTGCGTCGCGCTGCCCCGCGCACGCCCTGCCCTGCCCCGCGTCGCGCTGCCCCGCGCGCGCCCTGCCCTGCCCCGCGTCCTGCTGCAGCTCGCGCCCTGCTGCCCTGCGAGTCGCGCCCTGCTGCAGCCCGCACGTCGCGCCTTGCTGCCTTGCGCGTCGCGCCCTACGTCTGCCCCGCGCGTCGCGATCTGCTGCAGCCAGCGCGTCGCGCTCTGCTGCACCGCACGTCGCGCCCTGCTGCAGCCCGTGCGTCGCGCCCTACTGCCCCGCGCGTCGCGCCCTACTGCAGCCCGCCGTTGCGCCCTGCTGCCCCGCGCGTCGCGCCCCGCTGCAGCCCGCGCGTCGCGCCTTGCAGCAGCCCGCGCGTCACGCCCTCCTGCAGCCCCCGCGTCGCGCCCTGCAGCCCGCGCGTCGCGCCCTGCTGCCCTGCACAGCGCGCGCCCTGCTGCCCGCGCCGCCCAGCACGAGCCGCCCTGCCCAATCTGATCCACCCTACTGCTGCTGCTGCTGGTGGAGGTACTGCTAGGAGTACTGGAGGTGCTACATCCTAGCCTCGCCGAGCCACTCTGCTGCTCTTACCTCTGCTGCTGCTACTCGTGCTACTGCCTTCACTCCGTCCTGCCCTAGATGTCACGCTCCTCCTAGCTTGCCCGCCATGACTTCACTTCGCAGCAGTAGTGGGAGTGGTGCCGGCGGTGGTGGCAACCGTAGTAGCAGTCATTGTGACGTTGTTCGGTGCGGAGTTTCTGGCGGTGGCCAGATGCAGCTACAGCGGCGTCCGACCCTTACGCCCCAGCAGCTTCGTGAGTGGCTTTACCAGCGTGGGACGTCTCCGAGTCATGGTCGCTGCCCGTACGTCATTCGCACAGGTCGTCGTGCTGGTCAGACCTGTGGGACACCTGGTCACGCACAGTCCCGCTGCTTCTCCTATTTGAGTGACGCCTGGCACGCAGAGTTTGGAGACGATGCTGAGATCCACCACTGGCTTGAGCTGCTTAGGTCGGGCGTTGATGTCTTTGCTTTAGACTATGACGCCATCCATAATGCCATGTATGCTTTGCCTGGTGGTGCTGAGGGTGACTGCTACCTGTGTGTGCAGCACGACCTCGGTATAGAGGTTACTGCTCTAGGTGCTAGTGATGCTGCTGCCTTAGGTGCTAGAGAGTCTGCTCTCTCAGGTACTGCGCCTACTGAGGCCTTGCACACCTTCACGCTTGACTCAGGTGCTTCCCGCTGTTTCTTTGGCGACAGTACCGCACTCACACCACTTCCTGCACCTGTTGCAGTGTCTCTGGCTGACCCCTCAGGGGGCCCAGTTCTTGCACGGTCCACCACTGTGCTCCTGTGCCCGGCGGTTCCGTCTGGCTCACTGACAGGCCTCCACGTCCCCTCGTTCTCTACGAACTTGGTGAGCAACGCAATTCTCCAGGACCAGTACGTTGACACCTTTACCCCTGGAGGATAGCGTGTGGCGATCTGTACGTGCTCCAGGACTGGCCGTCACCTGGCCACGTTCACCCGTTGGCCAGGGTCGAGTCTTTACACACTGACGACTGTGTCTCCTCAGGTAGCTGCTGTTGGTCAGGTGTTTGCGTCAGGTCTGGTAGCCTCCCCCTATGAGTGTCGCTCCCTGTCGCACCAGACTCTTCTCTGGCACCACCGCCTGGGTCACCCCTCCTTGCCACGTCTCTGTGGCATGCACCGTCGCCTCCTTGTGTCTGGTC